GGGATGGGGTGGGGTCTGTTAACATTCGCTTGCACTTGCAAACCAAGCTGATGCTACGTTGGGAATGGGGTGGAGATGGGGTGGGGTGGGGATGGGGTGGGGTCTGTTACAATTCGCCTGCGCTTGCAACCCAAGCTGATGCTACGTTGGGAATGGGGTGGGGTGGGGATGGGGTGGGGTCTGTTAACATTCGCTTGCACTTGCAAACCAAACTGATGCTACGTTGGGAATGGGGTGGGGTGGGGATGGGGTGGGGTCTGTTAACATTCGCTTGCACTTGCAAACCAAGTTGATGCTACGTTGGGGATGGGGTGGGATGGGGCGGGGTCTGTTAACATTCGTTTTTTTGCACGAGTGGAGGCGCTGTGTGTGCAGCTTATGCACAAGTCACCTTAGTCGAGTTGAGAGTGAGTTACAGATCAGGTTGCGACATAAGAGGAAAGCGAACAGAGCACCAAACACAAAAAACAACCCAAAACACACCCACGCCAAAAACGAGCGCAACCTGCGAAGTAACTCAGTGGCCGTGAGGGCGTGAGGAAAGGTGAAACAGGGGCGATGAATTCAGCAAAAACGCTCAGTACTTCTTGTCCTTCAACGAAGAGCACGGAGTGCATCCAACAAGGAGGCACAAGTGTAAGCGGAAACGCACCAAGGGCAAAACATCGCAAACACAGAATGGAGGGCCAAATGCCCGTGGTAGTCACTACGAGTATTGAGCTTGGGCGGCAATGAGGACATTGGTCGAAACTTGAGCCACAATTTGACGTCGTCTTTTCACAATCGCGTGCTATGTCAGTGCCTGACCGAAAGCAGGTATGCCAGGATACCTAGGACTGTCCCATTGTATTCAAAGTTGGGCACTTTGAAGCCAGATGGCTTACTCGATGGCTGGCAGTGAGGTATGCGGAACCAAATGAGTGGCAGCATGGGAAGACCACAGCCTTCAAGCTCGGCATTTCCAAAAAACCGAGAGTGGAAGACCATGTGAGGCCACAAGGGGTTCAAGGGCAGTGGAATGGCCCGCACCGTACCTCCCCCCGAGGGGGGAGGCACCAAACAGAGCACATCAAGGAACGATGGCCCACGAGCAGCTTGGCAATGGGTTCTAGGCGTGGCGTGCTCCAGGAGAGGGCACTCATGTCGTGGAGATGCTGCAAAAAAGTCGCTTTCGGCCATCTGACTGGTTCTTTCAAACGCGGCCAGCAGAAGCAGCCGTTTCATGCAGGGCCCCATAAACTACCTGAAACTAAGAGAGAGGTGAGACATGGTGAAACGCCGTTTTCCTAATGCTGTACGCTGTACTCATCCAGAACCACTACACAGGTAGCAGTCTGGGACTGTCTAACTAGTCAGATCAACGAAGTCGAGCTGTGCTGCACTGTTGGTTGGTACTCTTAGGACCGGCACACGGGTGCTAGTCAGTACACTAGCAACAATCAGGAGAGTATGGGCTGATACGTGCGCCATATGGTTCTATTGCTCCCTTACCTGGGCCAGTACACAGTTGCACACAGGTACCTATGATGGCCAATCTTGGGTCTGCACCTAACCCTGCTAGAGGGTGGCAAGGGAGTCATCTACCCATTGATCCTCGTCTTCTTGCATGCGTGGCAACCATCGAATCCAATTCGGCATATCTAAGTTATCACACCGCAGGAACGCATTCTCGCGAGCGAGAGTACGTTCCCCTCCATGTCACACTTTTGCCGTACCTCTGGAATCGATAGAGTTGAGTGCACCCTCCGAACGCTCGTCGTGTTAAGGACGTACAGTGAAGGAAAGCTTCCTGCCGGATCATTCGAAGTAGTCCTGGGAGTTTCAGGTTTCGTAGATGTTCGCAGTGAGCAAAGGCACAGCTCATGATTTCTGTGATCTTAGTACGCGGAAGGTCTACAAGTTGTAGCTGCATACATCGCTCACAGGCAGCTGGCCCAATCCAGGTGTAGTCAGGTGGTAGGGTCAGGGAAGTTAGGCCTGCTTCAAGGAAGCAGCATTCCGGGAAACAACGCGTAAGGCCCTGTGGGCTGTATTCTGTCAGTTCTAGATTGATTTGTCGCAAGGCTGTGCATTTGCGGAAGGCTCGAGGCATGAGTTCTGCTTGCGGAGCAAGTTGATTGATGGTATCGTTAGCAATCCCAATTTGCAGTAGGGAACAGCATTCTTCAAAGACTTGTGTTCCGAACTGTTTGCAGCCTGGGGCTAGGATCTGTCGCAGCGCATAGCATCGGCGAAAGACTTGCGCTTGCAAACAAGTGACCGTGCTTGCTAAATGCACAATTTGGAGATGTTGGCAATTGCGCCAAGCTCCTTCTCCTATTATGCGATAGCCAGCATCAACTTGTAGATGCCTCACCTTTGTCACATACTCAAACGCCTGTGGAAAAATTCTATCGTGTTCCTTGAAAGGGATACGCAGGGCTTTGGCTTCCCCTTGCATTTGCCCCTTTCTCTCAGCCACTTCGATGCATGGGCTGACCACCACCGTGAAACAATTGCAATCTCGCAAAGTTTGCCAAATTGGCAAACTAACCAGCGTTTGT